CAGGAGAGGCTGAAGAAAAAGAGGGGTAGAGGGAGTAGAAGAAGACGAAATAACTGGAGAAATAGAGAAATATGACCTGTAAACTGGGCCACCTTCTTCTTCAACAGTCGATGGAAAGACTGGTCGGATAAAAGCTTGCATTGGGCCTCCCCAACCAACCCTTGCAAAGTAGGCTGTTTGCCCTTCCAAAGGAAAAACATCTGCTGCTGCTTGAGGTTTGAGGTCCAATTGAATTGGGCTGACCGACTCCAACCAGTTAAGGCTCAACACCAAGTCATGGGCTCGCAAATCCAATGTACGAACGTCAAACTCAAACTCGATACCTTTCTCCAACGAAACCATCGACACACTGAGTTACTCAGTAACGCGGCCCCATTCTCCAGTTTCACCTTCATCGGCGGCGCTGAGTCGAGACGGCAACCCAACTCGGAAGCTCGTGACTCACTAAAAAAGGTATGACTATTGCCAGTGTCAACTAGAACCACCACCTCTTGTCGACCTACTCGCGCTGGAATCTGCAGAGCACGGCCAACCATTCCCGATCCAAGAGCCTGCATCGACACCTCAACCTCTTCAGCGGTAGCAGAAGGCTGAACCAGATTGACGATCTCCTCATCACTGTCCATCGGAGATTCGTCCGCCTGAAGAACTTGACGCTGCTTCTTCTTCTCACACACATGGCCGTAGAAATACTTGTCACCACACTTGAAACAGAGACCTTGACTGCGAGGATTGTCTGGCCGATCGATTGAAACGGAAGGTGAGGAAGACGACTCCACCGAAAATTTCTTGTTTCAAGAAGGATCGGTTGAGGGTATCCACTTCGATGTCGGCCTATTCTTCCTCCAATCGAGCTTGGTGAAACGCAATCGACAAGGTCTGAGGCAGCAACATCTGCAGCCGAGGCTGAATTTCGTCCTCCAGGCCACTAATGAAACTCATGATGAAATAAGATACAGTGAGACTTGGATTCAATCACAACATCCTATCTCGGAGATCCTCAAAGGCTTCCTGGTAATCGGCCACCGAACCTTCTTGCCAAAGTTTGTTGAAAGCCCTGATGATGTTCATCTGGTCCTTATCGCCAAATCGGAAAAGGAGATCCCTAACGAAGACATCCCAAGGCAAGAACTGTCGATTGCACGCGCAGCCTTCATACCAGACATTCGCGCGTCCCTCCAAATAGAAGGAGGCCACCTCCACCTTCTCAGCGTCAGAAATGGAATGGATCTGGAAGTACTTTGCACATTTACGGAGCCCAGAGTGAGGATCGGAACCATTGAAGAAAGGAAGATCAATCCGCGGATAATGATCAGTGACGGAAGACCGGCGATGCTGATGACGACCGAAACTCCGATCGCTGTATTCAGCATGGCCTTGCGGAGAGGAAGGCCGAGGCGATCGATTGAGAAGCATTTGCAACGAATTTTCAATTTTCTCGAACAACTGAGAATAGTGAATCTGAGTGCCCTGGAGAGCGGCGATCGACGCGGCGACGGAACTCATTTGCGCATCCACTGAAGTCATCTGCTCCTCAAGAACCGAGAGGAGAGTATTGTGCGTTTGTTCAGGCACCATTGTTGCTGGAAGAAAGGCTCTGAATACCACTTGTAAGGACGGAGGATCGTAATCTCTTATTCCACCGAAACAGAGAAGCAGAATTACAGGGAAGATGCTAGAAGATTTGTTAAAGTAATAGCTATTCTAACCAAAGTTTGACTTATTCTCCAAGATAGCTAAAACACTTTCCCTTTGGGTATTTATACTATCCGCTAACTGTCTCCAGCTGTCACTAGCAGTTCTGTGTCATTACAGCAGTTGAGCTATTTGCATCCCTCTCTTGGGCGGTGGAGCTAATTGGATTTGGATCCCTCTTCGTTCTCTTTATTCTTAGAATGCAATATTTACTTGTTTATCCAATTTAATTGTACTTGGAACCATCTGTCGAAAGCAAGGTGGTCTGGTTCTTGTGGAGAGTAATCCAGAAGTTCTTGTGGATAAATCAAAAGAAACAAAAAGCATATTTTATCCTTTTTGTGAGGGAAATATGGTATTTTTCATAAAATTAAATAAACCATTACATTTATTTATCCAAATAGATAATTTTACTTTCAATTTCTCAAATAACACACAAATACCACAATTAGAAAAATGAGTTATTTGGATCTACATTATCTCGTTGCCAAATCACCCATCCAAAAACCCATTCATATCTTGCCCTTCCTTTTCGTATGTATTGTGTGCGTGTGCCATAGTTAGAGAAATCATAATGAAACATAATGAATAAAAAAATTCGTAGAAGGATCATTGTCATAGTATGTGCATGTGAATAAATTTACCGGTTTCATTCCACTTCAAAATAACTTCTTTTTTTTTTTTTTGCTTGTGGCATCTCGTTTAATTCTTACAAGATTTCATTGCAGGTGCTTCAATCATTTCATATTGTTAGTACTCAGGGGCTGGAAACTTGAGCTGATGCTTTGGAGCTATCGGAGAAGTTTTTTTTTTTTTACAAAAGATAATCATATATTGATTCAATATAGGAAGAGTTACACCCTGGACTACAGCCAGGCCTGAAAATTAAAAGAACGACACGTAGACGGGTACAAAGAAAGGGCCTTTCTAGCCACCGCATGGGCTACCCTATTGTTACTCCGTCCTACAAATCGCAAACTAAACCCAGGGTGATTTTCAATACATCGCCTAATTTCAGACAAAATCATCCCAACCCTACTATCCCTAGTCTCCGCTTGATTGATCTTATCGATTATGACATTGGCATCGCCCTCAAATCTTACATCCTGGAACCCATTAGCCACGCACCAGGAGATAACCTCCCGGAGAACGAGTGTTTCCACCACCAGAGGATCATCAATAGCCCGATACTGGACCCCTTTAGCTAGGAGGATCTCCCTATGGGGGCCGAGAAGAACCATCCCACCCGCCGAATGGGATCCAGCTCTCGTAGCTCCATCCCACATACATACCAGCGAGGAAACCTCAGGCAGCCCAGGAGAATGGAGAATAGGATTCAGCTCCGTAGTCGCCCTTTCTGCAGGCAATCGGTTCCATTCCGCACATTGCTGGTGAAACTGGTGCATCAAGGCAGGGAACCCAATTTGCTTTCCTTCAAAGACAACCCAATTACGGGATTTCCAAATCCTCCAAAGAACAGCCACTACCGACATGACAAGAGATGGCTGATGAATTAGGGCAAATAGCCTTTTGAGAAATAGGGGAAAAGTATGGCGAGGCAATCCTTGGCCGAGATGTTCCAATCCCAAGTAGTCCCACAGGGCCCGAGCAACTGGACAATCCAGAAATAAATGCTCCATAGTTTCTGATTCCCCCCAGCAGACCGGGCAACGAGGAAGGACAGGGACACCTTTCTCAATGAGGCCTTCTGTTGTAGGGAGGATACGATGAAAAATCTGCCAAATAAACACCTTCAACTTAGGGGGAATATCCGCCTCCCAAAGCCAAATCCAACTGGTTCTATCCCTCCAGCTAGCCGTAGACCTCCAACTGCCATTCCTTTTATCCAGGTCAATGGCTAAGTGATAGGCAGATTTGACCGTGAACACACCGTTAGGTGTGCTATGCCAAATAAGACTATCTGGCATATTTTGCCTCGAAAGAGGAATAGATTGAATCATACGGCAGATAAGTGGATCAAACCATTGGCTCAGTTTAGTGGCACACCAACCCCCTTCCCCATTCTGATTGATAACCTCCGCCACTAGTGGATCACCACCCTCCGGGAGCACCTGAGGGTTAAACACCGGCAGGTCAGGATGCATTTGATGAATCCAATTCAAGAAAAGCAGCAATGCCGACTCCCCATTGCCAATTTGCCAGCGTAAGCCCTTTTCTAGCAACTGCCTTCCAAAAAGAACACTCTGCCATCCCCAAGAAGGGCGCGATCGTGCTTGGGCTTGCAGAAACGTCCCCGTTGGGAAATATTTACCTTTGTAGACTTGAGCCAGCAGGGACTGGGGCTCCTGGAGGATTTGCCAACCGATTTTAGCCAGTAATGCCTGGTTAAAATGTTCAAAACGACGAAAACCCATTCCCCCATCATGTTTACTTCTGCACAAATTTTGCCAGGATACCCAGTGTATTCTTGACTGATCATTAGTCACACCCCACCAGAACCGAGCTACATGCTTATCAAGAAGCCTACAAAGGGATGTCGACATCTTAAAGTAGGACATAACATGCAACGGTAAAGCTAAAGCTAGGCTTGGCAAATTGAATCGAAACCCGAAAATTCGATCCAAACCCGACCTGACAAAATCAGGCAAAATCCGTTGATGATGGGCTCCGGGCCGGACTCGGATTAACCCGAGAATAAGAGAAACGGGCTTCGGGCGGGCATCGGACTCGAAACTATCTGCCCCGACTCCGCCCCGTACATATATATACCCTCTAATCAGAAACCCTAGGTTAGATTACTCCCCTCAACTAAACTCTTCCTCTCCCATTTTCTTCTCCGCCTCCAACCTTAGGCTAGATTCTAGCAATCCGATTTCTCCCGCTGCATCGAATCCCTAACATATCGGTCGCATATATCCCATCGATTATCCACTTTCCTTTCCGATGATAATCATTTCCCTTTCGATCATGGCTTTCCGCATGCAAAGAGAATTTCTCGCAGTTAAGTCGAATAGTAGATTCGGCTGGAGATTGAAGTTGGAGTATAAATACGAGGTGCAGTTTATTTTTTTGTTCATACTTCTCTCAAGTCTCAATCTCAGTACTCTGTTTCTCAGTTCTCAGACTGACTTCTCATCCTTTTACTGCTTGTTTGGTTTGTGGCCTTGTGCGTGCGAGAATCATCTTCACATCCATTCCCACCCGTTGTTTGTGCCTCACTCTGTTTGTTCAAGGTAAATATCCATTTTCTTTGTTTCAATTTTGATCATTGATGTTGGTTAATGATTGAGGGAGTTGCTTGATATCCTACTAATCCTCGTTCCTCTATTTTTTCGACAGGAACAATGTCAACAGAGGGAGTTCAACCCACTCCACAAGATAATGGCAATAGTGCAAATCCAGTACTGTCTGCACCTACTGGAAATGGGACTGTCACAAACCCAACTCCGCAGGCAGCAACTACAAATGAGCAGAATGGCAATGCTGGGAATGGTAATGTTGTCGAGGAATTACTCGACGTTGGTAAGCTTAAGAGTGTTGTTTGGTTACACTATACCAAAGTTCGAATTAATGGAATTGTCAAGGCTAAATGCAATTATTGTAAGAAGCAATTAGGTGGGGAATCAAATAATGGTACTACCCACCTAAAGAATCACACCAAAATTTGTGTTCAGAAGAAAATTAGGGATGGTAGTCAAAAGATTCTCGGCCCTCACTATTTGGCTAAAGGAAATCAAGACTTGGTTGCTACTGCTTTCAACTCTGATTTTTCAAAAAGGGAGCTTGCAATTGCTATTACAATGCATGAATATCCTTTGTCAATGGTTGATCATCTCTATTTCAAGAGATTTGTCTACTCTCTTCAACCATTGTTCACTATTCCATCGTGGAATACTATAAAGAAAGAGGTCTTTAAGATCTATGATATTGAAAGAGCTAAGATTCAAAGTCTGTTTGATATCAACAGAGGTAGAATTGCAATAACTACTGATTTGTGGACTGCCACCAATCAAAAGAAGGGGTACATGGCTGTTACAGTTCATTATATTGACAACTCGTTGGTGCTTAGGATCCATATGCTTAGGTAAGACATGTAGTCTATATGAGTGTTATTAAAGCCGAGCCGAGCCGCTCGGCCTGACCGGTAAAACCACCACCCGATCATAAAACCGGCTCGACACAGTCTAAAAGCAACTCCGATTTTATGTAGCGGTTGGCGATCGGCCGAGGCAATTAACCGTTCGAGCCGATTGAGCCGCCCGTCCGGTTTTTGCCATTCATCCATTAAATTTAATTGAAAAAATTGCAAAAAATTGAAAATTGAGATAATCCAAAAATGTCGGGCTCTCAAACTGAATCCTTATTTCCATTTCACAATTTCGAAGGAAAGAGATGAGCTCTGATTAAGAAATGTCCACTATTTATACAGATAACGTTTATTACGTACCGGTTCTCTAACGGTTTTTAAACGGTCTAATGCCGGTTGGACCACTAAAGTGCAAGCCGTTCGCATTATCAGGTCATGCTCCGGTTCGGTTCTGACAACATTGTCTGTATCTATTTGAATCATTGGTTTCTATTTCTTAGTTTTTGTTTCATTCCTAATTGCAATTGTTTCTTTGTCTGCTCGTTCTTGTGCAAATTTGCACATGTACCAGCACCTCATACTACTGAAAGGTTGAGGACAGTGTTGGTTAACTGTTTGCTCGACTGGAATGTCGACAGTAAGGTATCCACCATTACCCTAGACAATTATAGCACTAATGACTCTATGATTCGTGTCATACAGTCAAAATTAGTGTTACCTGACTTGATAAGTGATGGTGCTTTGAGACATATGAGGTGTGCTGCTCACATCTTGAATTTGATTGTGAAAGATGGTCTGGATGTTGTTAAAGAGGGAATTGATAACATTAGGAGCAGTGTTGTTTACTGGTCTGCTACCCCTAAAAGGCTAGAGTTCTTCCTTGAAACTGCAAAGCAGTTAAAATTCACTTATGAGAAACGACTTGTTATGGATTGCCCTACTCGGTGGAACTCCACCTTTAAAATGCTATCTGTTGCTATTCCTTACAAGGAGATTTTCACTAGACTGAAGCAACGTGATGCTCAATATAATTTCTTGTCATCGAATGAGCAGTGGCAATTTGCTACACTTGTTTGTGAGAAACTTAAAGTTTTTAGCTCTATCTCTGATTTGTTCTCTGGATCGAAGTATCCAACGACTAATCTGTTCTTCCCTCGTATTTGTGAGTTGAATCTCAAGATTCATGAGTGGTGTGTTGATACCAATGAAGCGATTCAAAAGATGGGTTATTCTATGCTGGAAAAATTTAGCAAGTACTGGGACGAGATTCACAAAGTCCTTGCTATTGCTGTGATTCTAGATCCACGGTATAAGTTGGAAATTGTTGACTACTATGCTAAAAACTTTGGTGTTGAATTTGATGGCTATTGTTTGGAATCTGTTAAGGACATATTATCTTATCTAGTATTGGAGTACCAAAGTAAAATGAATGAGGAGAGGAGTCTGAATGTTTCTGGGTATGTTGGAGTTGAGTCCTCTGCTCCTAGCACCACTGATTTGGACTTTGATCGATTTGTGAGCCAAAGAAAAAGGGCAAGGGTTACTTCTGTCCATACTGAGTTGGACAGTTACCTCAATGAGAAAATTCTCCCTCGTTCTGTTGAGTTTGATATTTTAATGTGGTGGAAGCATAATGGTCCAAAATATCCCACTTTGCAAGCCATGGCAAGGGATGTTTTGGTTGTTCCTGTTACCTCTGTTGCATCTGAGTGTGCATTCAGCTCTGGAGGTCGTGTTTTAGACCCTCATAGGAGCAGGTTGCACCATGCTACTGTGGACACACTTGTGTGCACAAGAAGTTGGTTGCAAGCTGAGTTGGCTGGAGGTATACTCTTAACCCTGTTAAGTTAATCTTTTTGTTCAATTTCATTGTTGTTTTAGCATGTTATGTAACTATTTTGACTTGGCTTGCATTCGTAGATGATTATGCTGCTGCAGCTGGAGTAGGAGTGTTGGAAGGATGTTTCTCCCCTACAAGTGAAGCCAATCTGGTCCAGCTCCAACCTGATGCTGAAACTACTGAAGGTAATAAGCAAAAAACCTTGTTTAAGTTGTGTGATTTCTTCCATCCTTTGATATATGTCAATGAGATTGAGATAGTTTGTTTAAATGTGTAGAGTAAGCCCCTCGTTTCAAGCTTCTTGAAGATTAATCAAGATTTGTGAACTGATAGTTAGCAGCAAGATGTAAGTAAGAACTTTTGAGTTCTCTTAGTACTTTAGTTGATTTCATGATTTGTGAATTTGGATCCTTAATAACGGTTGTTTTCCCTCGTTTTTCAGGTTTTGTTTGAGTTTTGTTGCCTTGGCTGCTGGGTGGAACCAAGGAATGCAGAATGCTGCATTGTTGTTGTTGCTGGAAAGTGGAGTATGGAGGCCTGAAGTGAAGTCTTTATCATGTTGTTGTGCTGCTGCTGCTATTGAAGCTGTTCTCGAGTAGTAGAGATGTTTTGCTAGTCATTTAAACTTTTGTTTTGCTGATACATTGGTCTTGGTCATTTTGGATTTGATGGTATTTAAGGATTGGACGTTTTCTGTTGAATGTTTTGTTCTTTTGCTACTTCTTCAGTGCATTCTGGTTTCTGGATTTGACGTTATGAAGTTCATGCTTCAGCTTCACATAAGAATTTGGTTGTTGTCTTTTAATTAATGAACTAGTCGGATAAGTTTTGGGTCCCTGATAAACCCGACATCCGAAAACGGGCGGGCTTGGATGCTATTTTACATCCGATAACAGCGTTCGGCCGGGGATTCCCCGAACCTGAAGTTCCGGCGGGCGGGTGATGGATCCATATACATCCGACCCCGATCCGCCCGATTGCCATCCCTAGCTAAAGCAATGGATTTAATCAATGTCTCCTTCGCCGCCCAAGATAAAGTACGTTGCTTCCACCCTTGTAATTTCTACAGTAATTTTTCTTCCAGATAGCGGAAGGTAGCCATTTTTGAGCGGGCAATCAGAGTCGGCAACCCCAGGTACTTATCATGAACCCCCACAGCGCCCACCCCCAGAATCGCGGCAAAAAACTCCTAGTCCGCTGGGGCTGTGTTTTTACTAAAGCAAATCGCTGACTTGTCCAAGTTCACACGTTGGCCAATTAATCCTCATACTCATTCAAGACTTCGATAAGATTCTCACATTCCTGGAGATTACCTCGCATAAACAAGTAAGAATCATCAGCAAAGAACAGGTGCGAGATACGAGGAGCTCGAGGAGCAACTTTCACACCTCCCAGCCGCTTATCAGTTATTGCCTTGCGAAGGATAGCAGCAAAGCCTTCCGTGCAGAGCACAAACAAAAGAGGAGATAGAGGGTCCCCTTGTCTAAGCCCTCGGGAAGGCGAGAAGTATCCCGAAGGGGTACCATTCATGAGGACCGAGAAAGAAGCTGAGCGAAGGCATTCATTGATCCAACCTATCCACACGGAATTAAATCCCATTTTTTCCAAGACTGCAAGCAAGAACGGCCATTCAACTCTATCATAGGCGTTTTCCATGTCAACCTTTAGATCCATGTACCCTTTCTTGCCGCGTGTCTTGATCTTCAAATAGTGCATCAACTCGTGCCCTATCAGGATGTTCTCAATAATTTGCCTTTCACGAATGAACGCATTCTGCCCTTCAGATACAATTCTCGGAAGGATATCAGCCAGCCTAGCCACCATAATTTTAGTAATAATTTTGTACACAAATTGGCACAAGCTCATAGGCCGCAATTGCCTCATATTTTCAACATTCTTCACCATGGGTATCAATGTCAGCCACGTATGATTGAAGCTCCTAAGCATCCTACTAGTGGAAAAGAATGAGCAGACAGCTTCAATCACTAAATCGCCAACAATATCCCAAAAGGCCTTGAAAAATTTCCCCTTAAAGCCATTAGATCCAGGAGCCTGTTTGGAACCCATGGCAAAAACCGTCTTTCGAACCTCTTGGGGCATAACCTCCGCCGTAAGCATATCATTCATCTCCTGGGTTACGTTCCGAGAGGTAGGAAGACTCGCCACCCGATCAGACATATTCATCACTTGATTTTCTGAGGTAAAAAGTTGCCGATAAAAGTGACAGGCGATGTCAGCTTTCCCCTTCTCTTTAGTAACCTAGTCACCATTTTCATTATGCAGGCCAGCGACAAAGTTTCTTTTCCTCCGAGTTCTAGTGACTGTATCTGTATGGAAATACGAGGTGTTCTTATCACCTTTTCTTGAGCCAATGCACCAGGGATTTTTGTTGCCAGTACATCTCCTCAGCCTCCCATTGGCGATTAAGTTCCATCTCCAGAACCTTCACCTCCTCCCAATCTATGGGATGATTGGACTTGATGTGTTCAATCTCCGCTTGTAGGGTCTTAATATTGTGAAGCGAATTGGTAGTCCCAGCCCTACTCCAGTCATAGAGAAGATGTCTCAAGTTTTTAAGTTTCTCCCATAGCGGGTACATCGGGGTCCCTGAAATAGGCTCCTGCCACACATACCTAACCATCGCCCTCACTTCAGGGTTGTCTGCCCAGCTAGCATCAAACCTGAACAGAGGTCGACTTTGTCGAACATATGGCCTGTCCGCGAGGAGCAGAGCCCTATGGTCCGATCCGAGGTCTGTACAATGTTTGACAAGAGTATCAGGGAATTGCTCCACCCACCGGTGGGAGCAGAGGGCCCTATCAAGACGTTCCCGAATGCAGGCATTTCCAAGACGCTTATTTGTCAAGGTGAAAGTATCCCCCTGATAGCCGGGATCATGGAGCCCAAGGTCGATGATAAAGTCACGGAGACTGATCGATTGCATACTATTCCAAGCATTACCTCCATCTTTTTCATGTTCGTGCAAGGTGGTATTGAAGTCCCCGATAACCACAAAAGGGAGATGGATAGTGTCACAGACTTCACGAAGATGAGCCAATTTCATGGCTCTGATAGAGGGGTTACAACTAATGTAAACACAAAAAACAAAGTAAGAAAAATCCACTTCATTGATTTGGACTCCAATAGAAAAATCCGAATGA